CAACCCCTTACTTACTCTCTGCAACAAAAGCTGGAAAACGTTTGTATTGAGCACATTTTACACCAATCGTTTTCCCTGCTATATCCCTTCTTATCTGGCATTCTAGATTGCTGTAATATCACTCCTATATCTTTTTGTTCTTTCTTAGGAATTTTCTAGCAAAGAATGGATCTGGCTGGGCGCGGTGCTCACGCCTGTAATCCCAGCACTTTGGGAGGTCAGGGCATGTGGATTGCCTGAGCTCAGTTCAAGACCAGCTTGGGCAATGCAGTGCAACCCCATCTCTACTAAAAATACAAAAAATTAGCCAGGCATGGTGACGCACGCCTGTAGTCCCAATTACTTGGGAGGCTGAGGCAGGAGAATCACTTGAACTCGGGAGACGGAGGTTGCAATGAGCCAAGATTGCGCCAGTGCACTCTAGCCTGAGGGGACAAAGCTAGACTCTGTCTCAAAAAAAAAAAAAAAAAAAAAAAGGAATGAATCTTGGCCGGGTGCAGTGGCTCACACCTGTAATCCCAGCACCTTGGGAGGCCGAGGCAGGCAGATCACCTGAGGTCAGAAGTTCAAGACCAGCCTGGTCAACATGGTGAAACCCCATCTCTACTAAAAATACAAAAAATTAGCTTGGTGTGGTGGTGCGCACCTGTGATCCCAGCTGCTTGGGAGGCTGAGGTGGGAGAATCGCTGGAACCAAGAGGTGGAGGTTGCAGTGAGTAGAGATTGTGCCACTGCCCTTCAGCCTGGGCAACAGAGTGAGACTCCGTCTCAAAAAAAAAAAAAAAAAATTTAAAAAAAAAAAAAAAAAGAATAAGAATGAATCTGTATTTGTCTTGTATTTCTTCTATTTATAGAAATAGTTTTTGTTTGCTTGTTCAAGTACCAAGAGCCTACTTTGCACTTGGCAAAGACTAGGTCCCTGCTCTGTGGGAGCTTTGAGTTGAGGGGGAAGGAGGGAGGTCAGGTATGTAAAGAGATACTCATAATTGATGTGTTAAGAGTGCCTGAAGGAGAGGAAAATGACTCAGGGTGGAAGCGTCAGGAAAAGTTTCAGTCAAGAAGTAGGGATTTAAGCTGGGTCTTGAAGGGTGGAGATTAATTGAGAGTGATAGGAGGAGGAGCATGTTGCAGGTGTGGCAGAGAGGAAGGAAAGAGCTATACCATGAAGGGAGCCTGAAGGATTCTTTAGGTTAGTAGTGCCATGGCCACAGTCAAAAGAAAGACCCAGATCAAATTTAAACATGGTGATGTACCTTGAAACAGTTTTGATTTTCACTTAATTATAGTGACTGTTATTTTATAATATATAGTCCTCCTCTTAAGTTAGAGGATCCAACTTAAAGGATATTTTTACTTTTCTCTTCCATTCTTTCAAATATAGTAGTGTATTCTAGTCCCAATAAGTTCTTAAATACACTGCAGAGACCCTAGATCCTTTTTTTTTTTCTTTTTAAGATGGAGTCTCACTCTGTCACCCAGGGTGGAGTGCAGTGGCGTGATCTCAACTCACTGCAACCACTGCCTCCCAAGTTCCAGCAATTCTCCTGCCTCAGCTTCTCTAGTAGCTGGGATTACAGGCATGTGCCACCCACCACACCCGGCAAATTGTTTGTATTTTTAGAAGAGATGGAGTTTCACCATGTTGGCCAGGCTGGTCTTGAACTCCTGACCTCAGATGATCTGCCTGCCTCAGCTTCCCAAAGTGCTGGAATTACAGACATGAGCCACCATGCCTGGTCGAGCCACCATGCCTGGCTTTTTTTTTTTTTTTTTTTTTAAATACAAGGTTTTGCTCTGTCACCCATGCTGGAGTGCAGTGGTGCAATCATGGTGCACGGCAGCCTCAACTGCCTGCACTCAAGCCATTCTCCTGCCTCAGCCTCCTTAGTAGCTGGGACCACAGGCATGTGCCACCACACCTGGCTAATTTTTTTGTTTCTAGAGATGAGATGTTGCTGTGTTGCCCAGCCTGGTCTTGAGTGGGCTAAAGTGATCCTCCTGCCGTGGCCTCCTAAAGTGCTGGGATTACAGGTGTGAGTGACTGTGCCTGGCCCAATTCTTTATTTTTATTTTATTTATTTTATTTTTTGTTTTTGAGATGGAGTCTCTCTCTGTTACCAAGGCTGGAGTGCAGTGGTGCAATCTCAGCTCACTGCAAGCTCCGCCTCCAGGTTCACGCCATTCTCCTGCCTCAGTCTCCTGAGTAGCTGGGACTACAGGTACCCGCCACCACTCCTGGCTAATTTTTTTATATTTTTAGTAGAGATGGGGTTTCACCATGTTAGCCAGGATGGTCTTGATCTCCTGACCTCATGATCCACCCACCTCAGCCTCACAAAGCGGTGGGATTACAGGGATGAGCCACCGCGCCTGGCCCCAATTCTTTATTTTTATCAGTTGGCAAGCCAAGTTACTCTGTAGTGTAAATCTGGCTAGCAAAAGTAAGTTCTTTGCTTTCCTTTTGTGTGTGTGTGTGTGTGAGACTCTGTCGCCCAGGCTGGAATGCAGTGGTGTGATCTGGGCTCACTGCAGCCTCTGCCTCCTGGGTTCAAGTGATTCTCCTGCCTCAGCCTCCTGAGTCGCTGGGATTACAGATGTCCACAACGAGGCCTGGCTAATTTTTGCTATTTTAGTAGAGAGGGGGTTTTGCCATGTTTTGCCAGGCTGGTCTCAAACCCTGACATCAAGTGATCTGCCAGCCTCATCCTTCCAAAGTGCTGGGATTGCAGGCGTGAGCCACTACTCCCAGCCTTTGTTTGATTTTTTGTTTTTTGATATAGAGTCTTGCTGCATTGCCCAGGCTGGAGTACAATGGTGCACAACCTCGGCTCACTGCAACCTCTGCCCCCTGGTTTCAAGCAATTCTCCTGACTCAGCCTCCCAAGCAGCTGGGATTACAGACATGTACCACCACGCCCAGCTAAATTTTGTATTTTTAGTAGAGATTGGGTTTTGCCATATTGGCCAGGCTGGTCTCGAATTCCTGACTTCATGTGACTCGCCCATCTCAGCTTCTCATAGTGCTGGCATTACAGGTGTGAGCCACCATGCCCAGCCCAGTTTCTAAATTTTTGAAGGGTGAAAAAAAATATATTATTATGGTATCTCTTCCCCTAAAACCACATATGCCCATTAACATCTATTTTTGTTTGTTTGTTTAGTTTTCCTTTTTTTTTTTTTTTTTTGAGACAAGTCTAGCTCTGTCACCCAGGCTAGAGTGTAGTGGCGCAATCTCGGCTCACTGCAACCTCTGCCTCCCAGGTTCAAGCAATTCTTCTGCCTCAGCCTCCTGAGTAGCTAGAACTACAGACGCCCACCACCACACATGCCCGGCTAATTTTTTTTTTTTTTTTTGAGACAGGAGTCTTACACTGTCGCCCAGTCTGGAGTGCAGTGATGCGATCTCGGCCCCCTGCAAGCTCTGCCTCCCGGATTCAATTAATTCTCTTCCCTCAGCCTCCTGAGTAGCTGGGACTACAGGCACCCGCCACTACGCCCGGCTAACTTTTTCTTGTATTTTTAGAAGAGACGGGGTTTCACCATGTTGGCCAGGATGGTCCCGATCTCCTGATCTCGTGATCTGCCTGCCTTGACTTCCCAAAGTGCTGAGATTACAGGCATGAGCCATTGCGCCTGGCCTACGCCCAGCTAATTTTTCGTATTTTTAGTAGAGACAGGGTTTCACCATGTTGGGTGCACTGGTCTTGAACTCCCGACCTCGTGATCCACCCGCCTCAGCCTCCCAAAGTGCTGGGATTACAGTCATGAGCCACTGCGCCTGACCATAGTTTTACTATTTTTCACCTGTAATGGTTTGAAGTGATTCTCCCCTATTAAATAGTTTCTCCTGAAGCTTTTTATTCTTCAGAAGGGAGACTCCATTTAGTTACTATCATCAGAGAAAGCAAATTATGCATTAGTAATTCTTGTTCTTTAAATATTTATACCCAGTTGTACTTTACCCATCAGATCTTTTTTTTTGTTTGTTTGTTTTTTGAGACGGAGTCTTGCTCTGTCACCCAGGCTGGAGTGCAGTGGCACGATCTCAGCTCACTGCAAGCTCTGCCTCCCGGGTTCACCATTCTCCTCCTGCTTCAACCTCCCAAGTAGCTGGGATTACAGGCGGCCGCCACCACGCCTGGCTAATTTTTTGTATTTTTAGTAGAGGCGGGGTTTCACTATGTTAGCCAGGATGGTCTTGATCTCCTGACCTCGTGATCCACCTGCCTCAGCCTCCCAAAGTGCTGGGATTACAGGCGTGAGCCACCCTGCCTGGCCTTCGATGAGTTCTTGACTGTGATCAAGATCTGATGGGTAGGTAGGGCGTAGTGGCTCACTTTGGGAGGCCGAGGCGGGTGGATCAGCTAAGGTCAGGAGTTTGAAACCAGCCTGACCAATATGATGAAACCCTGTCTCTACTAAAAATACAAAAAATTACCCGGGTGTTGTGGCATCCACCTGTAATTCCAGCTACTTGGGAGGCTGAGACAGGAGAATCGCTTGAACCCGGGAGGCGGAGGTTGCAGCGAGCCAAGATCGCTCTATTGCACTCCAGCCTGGGCAACAAGAGGGAAACTCCGTCTCAAAAAAAAGGAAAAAAACTCAGTCTAGGCGACATGGTGAAACCCCATCTCTACAAAAATACAAACAATTAGCTGGGCATGGTGGTGCGTGCCTGTATTCCCAGCTACTCAGGAGGCTGAAGGAGATTCACCTGAACCCAGGATGTTGAGGCTGCAGTGAGCCATGCTCATGTCACTCTGCACTGTAGCCTGGACAGCGGGAGTGAGATGTGCGTTTCCCATTTGTTACTCTTTTTAAACAAGGATAGGAAATCATCAGAAAGCATACTGTTACCTCTGTCTTCTCTGTTCGTCCTTTCCCACATTCATTAAAAAACAATTATGGCTAATTAACCACTTGAGAATTGTTTTGGCTGCTATAGATTGAAACGTTCCTGCTCCCAAGGTCCAGTGATCCTGTTGCTCTTGTTCCCACAGGCATAGAATGTCAAGCTAACCAGGCGTCTGCTACTTCAGAAGAATGTACCGTCGCATGGGGAGTCTGTAACGTAAGGAAGCATCTTTACCTGTCAGCATGGCTTGTAAACATATTTCCACTTTTCCTGCTTTGCTAGTCTTGAAAATAACTAGGGAAAAAAACTGACTAGTCCAGCTTTCTCCTAAAAGGTATACAAATAATAAAAAAAATTTTAAATCATGATACTATTCACCTGTTACAGGGTAAAAATTACAGTTACTGCAAAAAGGCACTTACTTGTCTTAATTATAAAGTGGACCCACTTTTGTTAGCAATATTTTAGGGCTTCATCTATGGGAATTGCCTTCAAAACCTGCGTGCACCCTTTGGAATATTCTCTTGGTAGAACTTTGTACCTTTGAAACAGACTTTTTTAAAGACCACGTGTCTAATGGAACTAAGTTTGATGAGTAAATTGAGTGTTCAAGTTTCTGTGTATGTGTGTTTGTGTGTGTGTGTGAAGTGTGGCATATGTACTGAGATAGGATTTTTTTTTAAACATGGCTTATACCAGAAATGCTTTGTGTAGCTTTATTGGACTGAATGGCCTTCCAAGAGTGTGACAGCTGTGAAGGATAACAAATACCAAATATGTTATTTCTAGCATGTGTTAAAAATTCATCCTTTAAGCTGTAAAGTCCCAGTCACATGAGCTAAAATTGTCTTGTCAGGGCCTCCTGTGTCATGGGGACAGAATACCCACAGTTTCCAGCATGACACAGGGCTAAGAGATTCTAGAGTCAGACCACCATTCCCTGTCTTTGTGACTGACTTGCTGAGTGATGTTAGGCAAGGCGTTTAACATCTCTAATCCTGGGTTCCCTCATGTAAAATGGGGCTGATAGTAGACCACATAAAATTGTAATCAGGATTAGATGATTTATGTTAAAATGTGATTAAACAGCTCCCAGCACATAGTAAGCACAAATGCTTGTTTTAAAAAAATCTAAATAGGCCAGGTGTGGTGGCTCACGCCTGTAATTCCAGCACTTTGGGAGGCCAAGGCAGGTGGATCACGAGGTCAGGAAATCGAGACCATCCTGGCTAACAAGGTGAAACCCTGGTCTCTACTAAAAATACAAAAAATTAGCTGGGCGTGGTGGCGGGAGCCTGTAGTCCCAGCTACTTGAGAGGCTGAGGCAGGAGAATGGTGTGAGCCCAGGAGGCAGATCTTGCAGTGAACTGAGGCTGTGCCACTGTACTCCAGCCTGGGTGACAGAGTAAGACTCCGTCTCAAAAAAAAAAAATCTAAATAAATACAAATTAGAAGTAGAGGTGTTACTGTGTAGATGGTGTTCTCGGTATTTTTTCCTGTTGCCTTGCAACCCTTTTTCCTACCTCCACTGTTTTTTGTTTGTTTGTTTGTTTGTTTTGAGGTGGAGTCTCACTGTGTGGCCCCAGCTGGAGTGCAGTGACGCAATCCCAGCTCACTGCAACCTTCACCTCCTGGGTTCAAGTGATTCTCCTGCTTCAGCCTTCCAAGTAGCTGGGATTATAGGTGTGCACCACCACGCCCGGCTAATTTTTATATATTTAGTAGAGATGGGGTTTCACCATGTTGGCCAGGCTGGTCTTGAACTCCTGACCTCAGGGTGATCCACCCACCTCGGCCTCCCAAAGTGCTGGGATTACAGGCATGAGCCACCGTGCCCAGCCCCTACCCACACTTTCTGGTACACCTTCTTCCATCTCTGTTGTGACCCTTTGGCCAGGCTCACAGTAGACCGTGTTGGCCGTGGGGGAACTTTAATCGTTTATGGGGATAAAAGAAGTATGTCGGGCTCTTTGCCCTCCCTGGCATGCAGACATACTAAGAACCATGTTCCTTTATGTGGAAAGAAAAGAGAGTGAACGTCCTCTTCAATTTCACTAAGGAGAGATTCTCTCAGAGAGCCTGCCGTAAAAGAGAGCCAGCATGGTGTGGCAGAAGCCTCTGGATTAGTCCTGGGTTCCAGTTCTGGGTCTTCTACAAACCAGCTCCATGAATTAGGCAAGTCACTTGTCTGGGTTTCGGTTTCCTGTCTGTAAAATGAAGATAAAAATATCTGTCATGCTTGCCTGCCAGGGTTGATGTGAGGCCTCAAATGAGGTAATACATGTCAACATCTTCTGTAAACTGTCAAGTACTGTAAATTTATCTTCTGTAAATTATACTCTGACCGCTGAATATATCCATTAACACGTCTTAGTAAATGTTCAGGGTGCTGTCACCTCCCTGACACCTCATTACAGCCCCCTTCTCCCCAGCGCTTGGTGTTCTCTGACTTAGTTGGGCTATACCAGGACCCTGTACTGCTGCAAAGTGCTTAGTGGTTGAGGAGAGAGAGGGAGAAGCTGTCGAATACCCTTCGGTGAACCCGACCCTAAAACCTGGTGGTTAAGAAAAATGTCGCCGTGTTCTGCCTTTTGGAAATTCTGCCTTTTCTCTTTTTCACAGTGAGTTATACAAGAGTCAACAGAAAAGGGATCTTCCAAAAGGCTGTACTCTAGGAGAATATTTGTCCTCTTGGGTATCCTTAGTGTAGTAGCTGTGGATTCCACTCTTAATTACTGAATTATGTTTTTGTCTTTGTCAAAAGATATTTCTCAAGATAATAATCCATATTATATAATCCCTTAAGTTCCATACATACTTTGGGAGATGTACTGACCAGATTTCAGTTGTTATTAAATGAAGCTTGCAAAGCTTTTGTTGTTTTGTTAGGGTGTATTTCTCCCCGTGCCCCATCACAGCGCACCAGTCACAGACGAAGTGAAGGAAGCACTTGCTACACCTGTCCTAATACGCACATGAGGAGGGGGAGAAGTGCTTATTGTAGAGGCATTGTGATTAGCATCTGCACGTCATGAGCCCACACCAAAAAACTGCACGCAGCCTGTCCTTTTCCCAAATCTAAGCAGACTTCTAGCTCCCTGTCAGTTACCGGTGGTCTTGGTACTCTTGTCTTTTTACTTCTTGTCTTGATTATGAAATAAGCCTTTTGATGCTCTTTAGGCTGCTTGTGTGCTGTTTGTCCCTCGTAAGAATACTTCCTTTTACCCCAATTTTCTTTTATCTCATTCCCTAAGACGAAGTCCCTCTCCCATTACAGGCATGTGAAGTACTGAGCTCTTGTAATATCAATATGTCTGTGAATAAGTCTGGAAATAAAGTTCCTTTGACCAGAGCTGAGCTGGGTGTGGGGAGGTTGGGGAAGTGCCCGTCTCAACTCTGGGTGGGTGGCAGTGACCGTGCACTTCTCTACCAAGGGCTGGGAAGAAGGCTCTGCTCCTGCAGGTCGTATTCTGCAGGGGCAGGAGGGTGGGAGGGAAGCTAGAGACCAGGAATGGCGATATTTGAAATCTGCATTGATCAGGGGCCTCCTTTCCCAGGGAAAGTGGAAGTATCCCCTTACAGACTGAATGGGACCAAGGAGCCACATTCCATGTTCTCTTAAAGAGAAGAGAGCTCAGTGCTAGCACATACTCCTGTGCTTCCTGAATGATTTCCTTTAGTAGTAGTGACATTTCTAACAAATGCTTTATTGGAAATATCCTCGCATCTAACCAAGATACAGTCAGTTGTTGAACTTTTGCCTCTCGTTGTTACCTCCTTTTCTAGCCCACTATGTGTCACCCATGCCACTGCCCTGTGGGACCTGTAAAAAAACCGGAGTTATTTTTAATAAAATATCTTTTTTTCCAGCATGCTTTTCACTTCCACTGCATCTCTCGCTGGCTCAAAACACGACAGGTGTGTCCATTGGACAACAGAGAGTGGGAATTCCAAAAGTAGGTATCTTTGGTTGTTTTGACGGGGCTTTTTGACTTGCCTCAGGCTGAAAGGAGTGTGGTCTTGGGGGATGGAGACATGATACATGCCTTATTTTTGTAAAGCTGGTTTTTGGTTACTTAAGCTAGGACTTATCTGTATGGAAAACGCACAGAGGATTAGCCAACAGTAGACATTTGCAGCCTAGGGTCTCCCAACCTTTTTTTTGGTTTATTTTTTGAGATGGAATCTCGCTCTGTTGCCCGGGCTGGAGTGCAGTGGTGCTGTCTTGGCTCACTGCAACCTCCACCTCCTGGGTTCAAGCAGTCCTCCCACCTCAGCCTAGCAAGTAGCTGGGATTACAAACATGTGCCACCATGCCCAGCTCATTTTTGTATTTTTAGTAGAGATGGGGTTTCACCATGTTGGCCAGGCTGGTGTTGAACTCCTGGTCTCAAGTGATCTGCCTGCCTCGGTCTCCCAGAGTGCTGGGATTACAGGTGTGAGCTACTGCGCCCAGCAGGTTTCCCAGCCTTCTAGGGTCTGTGAAAGTAGAAAATGTGATAATCTATGAACTCTTAAATATTTCATAAATTACATCCTAATGAGGTTCCATGGGCTACCTAATGTCAGGTAGCTTTTGACTAGACTTGTATCCACCTATCATATTTCAGTAGTTTATCTCATACTGATTAATTCTAATATAGCATTTATGGCTATCCTGATTAGATTTTATTGTTATATAAATAAAACATGGCCTGGTAAATTTTTAAAAATTTAAATGGTTGAAAGTGTATATCACAAAACATGAATTTCCCACTATAGGCCCCTGCTCCTGCTTGCTGGAGCTAGCCATCAGCGACAGGACAGCTTCTTAGTAGATTTTCTGACTATCTCTTATATGTTCCAGCATTTACATGGCTGTGTGTATATATATTTTTTTGTTAACATAAATGTGAGTATCCTATACAGTAATTCACCTTTTTTTTTTTTTTCCATTTTGTACATTTTGGAGATTTTCCATTTCCACAAATAACAAACTACCTCATTTTTAATGGTTGCAGAGTATTTCTTTATGTAAATGTACCTTAACTTTTTTCTTTTTTTTATTTGTTTGCATGTTTTTAACATTTTTTACATTTTTTAAAAAGTCAGTCCCTGGCCGGGCACGGTGGCTCACGCCTGTAATCCTAGCACTTTGGGAGGCCGAGGCGGGTGGATCACCTGAGGTTGGGTGTTCAAGACCAGCCTGGCCAACATGGAGAAACCCTGTCTCTACTAAAAATACAAAATTAGCTGGGCATGGGGGTGCATGCCTGTAATCCTAGCTACTTAGGGGGCTGAGGCAGGAGAATCACTCGAATCCGGGAGGCAGAGGTTGCGGTGAGCTGAGATCGCGCCTTTGCACTCCAGCCTGGGCAACAAGAGCGAAACTGCGTCTCAAAAAACAAGTCAGTCCCTATTGGTGGACATTTGGGTTTCCAGTTTTTCACTGATGCAAGCAATGTGAAGGGAGAAACATCCTTATACATGAAGCTTTATGTAAATGTGTAGATGTATTTGGAGCAGTAATTCTTAAAAGAGGAATTTCTGGGTAAAGAGTATGGCTGGGCTTGGTGGCTCACACCTGTAATCTCAACACTTTAGGAGGACAAGGTGGGCAGATTGCTTGAGTCCACTAGTTCGAGACCAACTGGCAACATGTTGAAACCCCATCTCTACCAAAAAATAGTAAATTAGCCTGTGCGTGATGGCTCGTGCCTGTAATCCCAGGACTTTGGGAGGTTGAGGCAGGTGGATCATTTGAGGTCAGTTTGAGACTAGCCTGGCCCACGTGGTGAAACCCCATCTCTACTTAAAAAAATACAAAAATCAGCTGGGTGGTAGTGGTGCGTGCCTGTAATCCCAGTTACTTAGGAGGCTGAGGCAGGAGAATCACTTGAGCCTGAGAGGCAGAGGTTGCAGTGAGCTGAGATCGCGCCACTGTGCTCCGGTCTAGATGACAGAGTGAGACCCTGTCTCAAAAAAAGAAAGAAAATTAGCTGGATGTGTTGCCATGCACTCGCAGTCCTGGCTACTCTAGAGGCTGAGGTGGGAGGATGGCTTGAGCCCAGGAGGCGGAGTTTGCAGTGAGCTGAGATCAGGCCACTGCACTCCAGCCTAGGTAACAGAGCCAATTAAAAAAAAAAAAAGGTCAGGTGCAGTTGCTCACACCTATAATCCTAGCACTTTAGGAGACTGAGGCGGGTGGATCACCTGAGGTCAGGAGTTCAAGACTAGCCTGGCCAACATGGTGAAACCCTGTCTCTACTAAAAATACAAAAATTAGCCAAGCGTGGTGGTGCACGCCTGTAATTCCAGCTACTCGGGAGGCTGAGGCAGGAGAATCATCGCTTGAACCTGGAGGGCTGGAGGTTGCAGTGAGCTGAGATCACACCACTTCAGCCTGGGCAAAAGAGCAAAACTTCGTCTCAGAAAAAAAAAATATGTATTTTTATTTTTGAGAAATAGTGTCAGTTTTTCCATTCCTAAGAATATACACTGATTTACACTCCCCTCCAAACAGTGAAGCAGAACTCCCCTTTCTTCATTTCCTGCCAAGGCTTCCTTATACAATTTTTCCATCTTAGCCACTCTGATAGGTGACAATCAGTATTCGATTTTCATTTTTGAATTTTCAGTGAGGTTGGGCAGTTGTTCATGTTTTTATATCTCTTACGCTTTTCTGTGAGCCACTGTGTTTATCTTCCTGCATGTTGTTTTCTTTTGAATTACTGGTCATTTTCTTTACTGAGTTTTTTCTGGGAAAGGAGTTTTTAAATTTAAATATAAGTCTTTATTAGGCTATTCTTGGATTTAAAAAACAAAAAAATAGGATCCTTTTGTTTGTGAAATATTTAGAAATCTATTATTAGTACAGTGATTTTGCTTTTAAATTCAATAATTTATTTGGTAAAACATTTGGAAGTATTATCAGTGTATATTCAGTTTTTAAGAAACCTGCCAAATACTCAGTATCTGAGTGGTACTGTTGGGCTTCCTTCAGCAAAATGTATGCTAAGTGCCGTGTAAAGTATAAAAACATTTGAGATGGTCCTTCCAGCCCTTGGAGCTTGCATTCTACGGAAAACCATAACAGGAATACATGTCAAGGCAGAGGACTTTTCTTTTTTTTTTTTTTTTTTTTTTTTTTGAGGCGGAGTTTCACTCTGTCGCCCAGGCTGGTGTGCAGTGGCCGGATCTCAGCTCACTGCAAGCTCCGCCTCCCGGGTTCACGCCATTCTCCTGCCTCAGCCTCCCAAGTAGCTGGGACTACAGGCGCCCGCCACCTCGCCCGGCTAGATTTTTGTATTTTTTAGTAGAGACGGGGTTTCACCGTGTTAGCCAGGATGGTCTTGATCTCCTGACCTCGTGATCCGCCCGTCTCGGCCTCCCAAAGTGCTGGGATTACAGGCTTGAGCCACCGCGCCCGGCCGGCAGAGGACTTTTCTAAGTTTTCAGGGGGCCTGTGTAATTGGCTCTGCCCTACAGCAGGCTCAAGGTTCCGTTTTAGACCAAAACGTTCTTGTTTTGCCCGTACATGTGCCCAGGGCTAAATCTGAGAATTGGCTAGGGTATGAAGAATTCCTTGTCTGGGGCTTTGACTGCCACTCTAACTGGTGACTTTCCCAGGTGGTAGTTATCAGTGCATTGGGAAAACAAATTCTTCAGTATTCTTTAATCTGATAGGATTGTTCTACAACCCATATCACGTGCTAGAACCTAACCTATGTGGAATTTGGCATAACAGCTCTTTTTAAGACAATATTCAAGTAGATTTCTTAAGAGAAGCTGTGATCAAGAGTTCCAGTGCCCTAGTTTCTATCCATACAACAAATTATTTTAATCAGGTTAACTGCCTAAAAAGATCCAGGACAAAAGATAATGAGGGATCTTGTGTTCAAGAAATCTGTTCATATGTGGAAGAAATTCCTTGGCCTTGTTTCTTTATTTTTATTTATATATATATTTTTTGAGACAGAGTCTCACTCTGTCCTCCAGGCTATAGTGCAGTGGTGTGATCTCTCAGTTCACTGCAACCTCCAACTCCTGGGTTGAAGCAGTTTTCCTGCCTCAGTCTCCCGAGTAGCTGGGATTACAGGCACCTGCCACCACACCTGGCTAATTTTTGTATTTTTAATAGAGACAGGGTTTCACCATGTTGGCCAGGCCGGTTTTGAACTCTTGACCTCATATGATCTGCCCACCTCAGCCTCCCAAAGTGCTGGGATTACAAGGGTGAGCCACTGCACCCAGCCCCTTGTTTATTTTTTATAATTTTAGAGCCAAATTTCAGTTTCTGGGGAAAACAGAAACCCCTGAAATCCACGCCTAGCTTCTCTTCTCTTTGTATAGAACTGAATGTAATCAGAGTTGTAATTGGAGCTGATGACAGATTTTGAAATTGAAGGCTGATCAGTCGCTATTCTCACTATTAGCTTTACCCTGAACATGCCTGAGTAACGGAGTTCAGGTGAACATAGGCCGCCATGATCAGGGGAGCCCGAAAGTTTAAACTGAGCCCCTGCTTGGAGTGAGCAGGTGGAGCTACCTTTCACAACCCGCCAATGACTTTTCCCTCTCACCTCCCTAATACCACCAAGCAGCTACTCGCACCTGTCAGGTGGGCGTGGTTGAGTCACAGGGAGAGCCTGTCACTAAGAGGGGATAGTAGGCAAGGAGTCCTGAAAGATGGGGAGGGGAAAGGGGATCACAATAACAGCTAAGCTAGTGTCAGTGTCTCACTCAGTCCTGGAGCAGACTGTGATCACTTAGGTTCTAACTAAAGTTGCTGGTGTTTAAGCAGGTTTTATGTCTCACACAGGAAATTACCACAGAATTAATCAGAGTAATTTGCTTTGTCTTTCAGGTATGGGCACTAGGAAAAGACTTCTTCCATCAAGCTTAATTGTTTTGTTATTCATTTAATGACTTTCCCTGCTGTTACCTAATTACAGATTAGATGGAACCGTGTTTTTTCTGCTTTGTTTTTTCAGTTTGCTGTTTCTGTAGCCATATTGTATTCTGTGTCAAATAAAGTCCAGTTGGATTCTAGAACGGATGCTCTCTCTTGTGTATGTGAACAAAGTGAACATAAATGAAGAGTCTCCCCTTCCAAGGCTGAAAACTCAGCTTTCGAAAGTGAAATGTTCGTTCATCGGGGCCAGAGCAGGGTTGTCCTCTGAGCGCATCACTTAGTCATGAGGGATCCGACAGAGGCAAAGTATGGATCGCTGGCACCCGAAAACAGCAGTCAGCCCTTCTTTCTCCTCCTGTGTGACAGCAGCGGGCAGCTGAATGAGGGAAGAATGTGGGATTCAGTCGTCAAACCCAGTTCTGAGTCCTGGTTCCACAGCCTGGTTACTGATGGCAATCTTGGCAAAGTTGCCTCTCTACTCTGAACTTTGTCTGTACTGTGGGCTTCTGAGGACTAAGTGGCATCATGTGGTCACAGAGAGAAGCTTTGTAAAATGTAAAACCACTATACAAATGTGACCTTTGGTTGTGTATGACAGCAGTCCCCAACCTTTTTGCCACCAGGGATTGGTTTCATGAAAGACAATTTTTCCACGGGTGGGGATGGGGTGGGGGTGTGCCTGGGGATGGTTCTGGAACTGTTCCACCTGAGATCATGAGGCACTAGATGGACTCCACAACCTAGATCCCTCACATGCACAGTTCGCCATAGGCTTCAAGCTCCTGTGAGAATCTAATGCCGCCGCTGATCTGACAGGCAGAGCTGAGGCGGTAATGCTTGGTCAGCACCTGTTCACCTCCTGCTGTACGGCCGGGTTCCTAGCAGGCCATGGACTGGTATCCGTTCTGCAGCCCAAGGGTTAGGGACCCCTGGCGTACGACATGTTTCTTTCTTTTCTTGGCTTAGAAAAATAAAGATATATATAATCGTGGCTGGCAAAAGGACAATTTATGAACTCAAGTTAAAAATTGATATTGGCAAGGCCGGGCGCGGTGGCTCACGCCTGTAATCCCAGCACTTTGGGAGGCCGAGGTGGGCGGATCACAAGGTTAGGAGATCGAGACCATGGTGAAACCCCGTCTCTACTAAAAAAATAGAAAAAATTAGCCGGGCGCAGTGGCGGGCACCTGTGGTCCCAGCTCCTCGGGAGGCTGAGGCAGGAGAATGGCGTGAACCCGGGAGGCGGAGCTTGCAGTGAGCCGAGATTGCGCCACTGCACTCCAGCCTGGGCGACAGAGCGAGACTCCGTCTAAAAAAAAAAAAAAAAAAAATTGATATTGGCCGGGGCGGTGGCTCATGCCTACCATCAGGCGGGCGGATCACGAGGTCAGGAGTTCGAGATCAGCCTGACCAATATGGTGAAACCCCATCTCTACTAAAAATACAAAAATTAGCCAGGCATGGTGGTGTGCACCTGTAATCTGAGCTACTCAGGAGGCTGAGGCAGGAGAATCCCTTGAACCTGGGAGGTGGAGGTTGCAGTGAGCCGAGATCGCGCCACTGCACCCCAGGCTGGGCAACGAAAGTGAAACTCCGTCTCAAAAAAAAAAAAAATCTTGGGAGATGGAAGGAATTGTCAGTTCTAATACTAATTCAATGGTTAATAATACAGATTTTTTAACTGAGAAGCAATATAGTTTGTTGCAGTGGCTCTCAAAGTATCATCTGAGGATTCTTGACAAGGGGGTACCTGAAACCCTTTCAGGGGGTTCATGAAGTTCTTCCAACTGCAAGTCTATGTGAAAGCAGTTTTTCTTTATATTCAACCAAAGCAGCATATCCAATGAAGAAACCGACTTAAGAATCCACTGTCTTCTATTAAATCAGATGTAAAAGAGATTAGCAAAAATACAAAAACAATGCGAGTCTCACATTTTTTGTTTTAAAAAATAATTTTAATAAAAATATGTTCATAAGTGATGGGTTTTTTTTTTTTTCTGTCATTTTTTAAATTTCTGGGGCTTTTATTTTGTGGGGGGGGGGGGGGCGGGATTTGAGACATGGTCTTGCTCTGTCCCCAAGGCTGGAGTGTAGTGGCGAGATCACAGCTCACTGCAGCCCCAACCTCCTGGGTTCAAGTGATCCTCCCGCCTCAGCCTCCTAAGTAGCTGGGACTACATGCGTGCACCACCATACCCAGCTAATTTTTTTTTTTTTTTTTTAAGTCTCGCTCTTGTCGCCCAGGCTGGAGTGCGGTGGCACCATCTTGGCTCACTGCAACCTCCTCTCAGGTTCAAGTGATTCTCCTGCCTCAGCCTCCCGAGGAGCTGGGATTACAGGCACATGCCCCCATACATGGCTAATTTTTGTATTTTTATTAGCGACGAGGTTTCACCATGCTGGCAGGCTAGTCTCAAACTGCTGACCTCAATCCACTTGCCTTGGCCTCCCAAAGTGATGGGATTACAGGTGTGAGCCACCCCACCAGGCCCCACACTGAGCTAATTTTTAAATTTTGTGTAGAGTCTTGGCCGGGCATGGTAGCTCACGCCTGTAATCCCAACAGTTTGGGAGGTCAAGATGGGTGGATTGCTTGAATCCAATGGTTCAAGACTAGCCTGGGCAACATGGTGAAACCCCATCTCCAAAAAATATAAAAATTAGCTGTGCGTGGGGGCATGTACCTGTAGTCCCAGCTGCTGGGGAGACTGAGGCAGGAAGGTTGCTTGAGCCCAGAAGGTGGAGGTTGCAGTGAGCCAAGATCCTGTCACTACACTCCAGCCTGGGTAACAGAGGGAGACCCTGTCTCAGAGTCTTACTGTGTTCCCCAGGCTAATTTCTCAGTTCTGGTTTCCATTATTGTAAATATTTGTAGATAAAACCCGCATAAAACTCTTTGGAGTCCTCAGTTTTTAACATCATAAAAGGGTCCTGATACTAAAAAGTTTGAAAAGCTTTGTTTAGCTTAGTCATTAAGAACTTCGGCCGGGCACGGTGGTTCACACCTGTAATCCCAGCACTTTGGGAGGCCGAGGTGGGTGAATCATGAGGTCAGGAGATCAAGACCATCCTGGCCAACATGAGGAAACTTTCTACTAAAATACAAAAAATTAGCTGGGCATGGTGGTAGTCTCAGCTACTTGGGAGGCTGAGGCAGGGGAATCGCTTGAACCCAGGAGGTGGAAATTGCAGTGAGCCGAGATCGCGCCACTGCACTCCAGCCTGGTGACAGAGCGAGACTCTGTCTCAAAAAAAAAAAAAAAAAAAACCTCAAAAAAAGAACTAAAAGAACTTCAAAGTCTAACCTGGAACAAAACTGACTTCCCCACTAAACTACCACAGTACCTAGTATGTAGCAAGCACTCAAATGGAGGCAGCTGCTACTGTTCCTATTTGTATCATTTTGGTACTACCATCCTCAGCAGAAATTCCTTCTTTTAAACCCTTTCCAGGCAGTATTCAGACTGCATAAATACTTTCATTAATGAAAAACACATTGCTTTTTGCACAGATGACACATTACATATTTGCAGAATTCTGCTTGGGTTTTGATCAGAATTCTTTGCGTAAAGTACAGAAATCCAGCTTCTGCTTGGGCAAAAGGGAAATTTCTTGGAGGGCTATAGAGGTCTGCAATGCAACAGCAGAAAGGGCTGGAGACGCAGCTGGATCTAAGACTGAAGAGAACCAGGGAATCTATGCTGCGGGGATTCTCACTGCTTCTCTTTTTCATTTTTTTATTTTTATTTTTATTTTTGGAGACAGAGTTTTGCTTTGTCACCCAGGCTGGGATCCAGTGGCGTGATCTTGGCTCACTGCAACCTCTGCCTCCCAGGTTCAAGTGATGCTCCTGCCTCAGCCTCCTGAGTAGCTGGGACTATAGGCATGTGCCACCATGCCCGGCTAAGTTTTGTATTTTTAGTAGAGACGGGGTTTCACCATGTTAGCCAGGCTGGTCTCGAACTCCTGACCCCAGGCGGTCCGCCCACCTCAGCCTCAGAAAGTGCTGGGATTACAGGTGTGAGCCACCATACCCGGCCCTCACTGTTTCTCTCACAGAGACCAGCTTCAGACATGACAGGAAAACTCTGGATGCCAAAGACTCTGCCACCTTTCCCACAGCTTCTGCCACAGGCAAGGGACCAACTCCAAGTTCTTTCTTTAAAAAATGAATTGGCTGGGCACGGCAGCTCATGCCTGTAATCCCATCACTTTGGGAGGCCAAGGTGAGAGGATCGCTTGAGGCCAGGAGTTTAAGACCGGCCTGGCAAATATGGCAAAACCTTGTCTCTAGTAAAAAATATAAAAATTAGCTGTACAGGCTGGGCGCGGTGGCTCACGCCTGTAATCCCAGCACTTTGGGAGGCCGAGGCAGGTGGATCATGAGGTCAGGAGATTGAGACCATCCTGGCTAACACAGTGAAACCCTGTCTCTACTAAAAATACAAAAAATTAGCCACACGTGGTGGTGGGCACCTCTCCCAGCTAAATGGGAGGCTGAGGAAGGAGAATGGCGTGAACCCAGGAGGCAGAGCTTGCAGTGAACCGAGATCGCGCCACTGCACTCCGGCTTGGGTGTCAGAATGAGACTCCATCTCAAAAAAAAAAAAAATTAGCCAGATATGGTGGCGCTCACCTATAGGTTGCAGTGAGCCAAGATCACGCCACTGCATTCCAGCCTGGGCGACAGAGCAAGACTCTGTCTCGGAAAAAGACAAAGAAAAACAAAGGCAAGGCATGGTCGCTCACGCCTGTAATCCCAGCACTCTGGGAGGCCGAGACGGGCGGATCACTTGAAGTCAGGGGCTCGAGACCAGCCTGGCCAACATGGTGAAACCCTGTCTCTACTAAAAATACAAAAAAAAAAAAAAAAAAAAAAATTAGCTGGGCGTGGTGGCGGGCACCTCTAGTACCAGCTACTCGGGAGGCTGAGGCACGAGAATCATTTGAGCCCAGGAAGTGGAGGTTGCAGTGAGCCAAGATTGTGCCACTGCATTCCAGCCTGGGCAACAGAGTGAGACTCTGTCTCAAAAAAAAAAAAAAAAAAAAAAAAAGATTAAGAAAAAAAAAGTCAGTGAGTAATAGAGCATGACAATAATAACAATGCCAATAATTATCAAGCTCCTAGACTCACATATTA